CTCTCTCTCTCTGACTCTCATGAATAAATAAATAAAACATTAAAAAATAAATAAAAAAAATAAAATAAAATAAAAAATAAATAAAAGGGTCCATTTAGAAAATGACATGAAACAGGTAACTCCAGTGTCATATAAACTGTTCTAGAGCTTAAAAAGATGGAAAGTGTTTCAATTTATATTGAAAAGTTAACATAACTCAAGCCAAAGCCCCAGATAGATAGCACCAAAAAAGATAGCACCAAAAAAAAGAAAACTACAAATCAGTCTTGCTTTGTGAAATTAGTAGTCAAAAAAATGCTAAATAAATTTTAATAAATCTTCAATGGCATTTTAAAAGAATAATATATCAAGACAAAGGCTTATTACAAAGTTATGTAATCACATCAGAATATCGAAGGTAAAAAGCTAGATGGCCGTCGCAGTAAATGATTTGAAAATTCATACCATTTACTGATTGCAGATTTTTAGGAATTTAAGAATAGAATACTTTATTAACATAATTAATGTCGGAAGGCAATAGCCAGTATCATACTCAGTGATGAAATGCTAGAACCATTCCAAATAAAAAGAACACGAACATCTTTTTTTTTTTAAAGGTTTATTTATTTACTTTAGAGAGAAAGCGCTTGAGTGGTTGGGGAGGAGGGACAGAGGGGGAGGGAGAGAGAGTCCCAAGCAAACTCCATGCTAAGTGTGGAGTCCGACGTGGGGCTTGGTCCCAGGACCCTGAGATCATGACCTGAACTGAAATGAAACCAAGAGTGGGTTGCTTAACTGACTGAGCCACCCAGGTGCCTCCAATTGAACATCATGGACCTGGTAGGTCTCCATTTATCAAAAAAATACTTTTAAGTCTCTAAAGTTCAGACATTTTCTTCATGGTAGTTATACGTATTTTTTACTAAGGTTTTAAAATATTTAATAGTTTCTGTTATTTTGAATAGTTCTTTTTTTTTCTTTTAAGGGAGAAATAATACTTTAAACCTTGTTTAAAAACTTTGTTTTCAGATACCGAACCCTAAGAGGGAGCATTTCAACAAGTATCCCCACTGATTGTTTGGTGCAAGTGGTCCACATGTTAACTGCGTGTGGCCTTAGGCGGTCCACGTTCTTTCTGTGGCTAGGATAGATCATGGAGCCATAAACCCAGGCTGCCTTCTCTTAGCAAACCTCAGAATCATCCCAGGGCGTTATACTTCATGATCTAGGTGTTTGTCAGTGGTCACCTAGTGACATTTAGATGACTATGGTTCTCATCATTGTTGATGATGTGGTTGTTCATTCTCTTTCTCAGGGTCAGCTTTCTAAAGGCTCCATGATTTCGTTTTCTCTTGGTATTAAAACTAGGAACACCAATCTTAAGAAATTGCTATATTTTGGTGGCTCAGTCACTTAAGTGTCTGCTTCTAGCTCAGGTCATGATCTCGGGGTCCTGGGATCAAGCCCTGCATCAGGCTCCCTGCTCAGTGGGCCATCTGCTTCTCCATTTCCCTCTCCCTCTGTGCTCTCTCTCTCTCAAATAAAAAAAAAAGAAATTGCTATATTTCATTTTATCAGATTTTGAGATTTAGTCCATTAGGTTTTTCTTTTGTCTTACTGCTCTTGAGAAACTCAGTGATTAATTAACCACTATGCCTGTGTTTTAGCCCTTGTAGTTATGTAGTTGATGTCTCCCTCTTTTTCTGGCTTTGGTTTTCTATTATTATTTGTATTATTATATTTTTCTTTTTTTTAAGATTTTATTTATTTATTTGAAGAGAGAGACACAGCGAGAGAGGGAACACAAGCAGGGGGAGTGGCAGAGGGAGAAGCAGGCTTCCTGCCAAGCAGGGAGCCCGATGCGGGGCTTGATCCCAGGACCCTGGGATCATG